CTATTCATTGAACATCAATATCACGTAAATCGAAAATTCTTCAATTTACATGCCATCTAATTGAGCCATCCATAAAACGACGAGCCAACATTTCTTTAATGTCGGCATTCATTTACTATTTATGGATATAACATAGCAAATGATTGTATAGGAATGAACATCAAGAAAAATATTAGGAAATATGGTCTAAAGAATCTCGAAAAAATTATATTTTTATGAGCTGATTTTAATATTATTTTTCTTTGATTGTTAAAAACTAAAATATACATAGATAGTATTATTGGATTGTAGATAGAATTCATGAATGTTGACTAAGGTCATAAGTACCTATTCATTGAATAATAATATCACGTAAATCGAAAATTCTTCAAATTACATGCCCTCTAAAAAAGCCATCCATAAAACTACGAGCCAACATTTCTTTAATGTCTGCAGTCATTTACTATTTATGGATATAACATAGCAAATGATGGTGTAGGAATGAACATCACAAAAAATATTAAGAAATATGATCCAAAGAATCTCGAAAAAATTAGAGTATGTTCTCTTTACCATTTTCTGTTTTCGATTTTTCAAAACAGTGAAAATGCATTTTTTTTCTATTTTCGAAAATGTATTTTTGAAAACAGTTTAACATTTACAAAGAAAACTCAAAATGACAAATTTGTCATTTTGGGCGTTTTCAGTTATAATTAAGCTAAAATTTCCAAAATGCGTTTTGGGTATTTTCAAAATGCCAAAAAGAACGTATGCCCAACAATCTCAAAATGGACACTCAAAATACAAAATTGAAATACAAAGAGAACATCCCCTTATATTTTCATAGACTGATTTTAATATTATTTTTCTTTTATTTTTAAAGAATAAAATATACATATATAGTATTATTGAATTGTAGATATAATTCATGAATGTCGACTAAGAGCATAAGTATCTATTCATTGAATATCATATCACGTAAATCGAAAATCCTTCAAATTACACGCCATCTAAAAGAGCCATCCACAAAACAACGCGTTCATTTACCATTTATGGATATAACATAGCAATTGATTGTATAGGAATGAATATCAGAAAAAATATTAGAAAATATGGTCCAAAGAATCTCGAAAAAATTATATTTTCATAGGCTGATTTTAATTTTATTTTTCTTTTATTTTTAAAGAATAAAATATACGTAGATAATATTATTGGATTGTAGATAGAATTC